ATATATATATATATATATGTATGTATGTATATTGTACTACTAATGTGTTTTTTAATATTTTATTTGTGATTATTTATATAATATGTAGAAACAGAACATATTTTGTTTACTGACTAGGAAACCCACCAAAGAGGCTCGAACAAAACCTTTAACCGACTATTTCCCCGTTAGGAGAAGTGAAAGAAGGCCTCACACTGCTTTAATGGTAAGTGATTTTTACTGTTGTAGAGTGCTCTCCAGATTTTATCTAGATTTCTTTAAGAAATGTGGGTTGCCAATATTCAAGTTTTGTATGTATGTGTTTTTCTATTTAGAAAACAAAAATCCAAAGCAAGATTCCCAAGTTAAAAATTAATTAACTTTGTAAACAGCAGTGTGAAAAACAAAACAATTTCTTTATCTGACAAGAACTTAGATTACATAATGGCTGGAGACAGCTTGAATGGGTAATGAAGAAAAACTTTAATATAAGTTTAACATAACAGCAGATGTACAACGTTTCGACAAGGTTTTGTCATCATCAGATTACATAGTTTCGGTAGCTACCAGTATTATGAGTAGATACTTTTAAGAATTTTAATAATGTATTCTAAAGTTTAGCATTATTATTGTTAATAAACATTGAGCTATGTTTTTTGAAGTGCCAGTGTTTTGACTCTAAAAAATTTGACGTTTTGCAGTTAGTTAAAAGATGGACTGGAAAATTTTTTTTTTTTTCTTTCAATTTTTTGAAATATAATTATCAAGAAAAAGATTTACATTGTTAATATAACAATCTGTAGAAGGACAAGGTAAAGGAGATAGAAGAGGCCATTTTGAAGGAAATAGAGGAAGGATTTGAGGTATGTATATTTATCAGTGTTTGAGTGTTTTTGTTTGTGTATATTTATCAGTGCTTGAGTGTTTTTGTTTGTGTATATTTATCAGTGCTTGAGTGTTTTTGTTTGTGTATATTTATCAGTGCTTGAGTGTTTTTGTTGTGTAGTTTAGTAAGAAGTAAAATCATCCGAAAGTAACTATGCAAGCAGCTTCTTATAAAACTATGAGGCCCACAGTTTCCCATAGATCTGTATGGTTAGCCATGAGGCCCACAGTCTCCCATAAAACCCTTGCTCTGTATGGTTAGCCATGAGGCCCACAGTCTCCCATAAAACCCTTGATCTTTATGCTTAACCATGAAGCAGGTGACTTCTTTCAGAAAGACTCTTTGGTCATGAATATGCTTTTTGACTTCAGTATTATTATAAAATGAAAAGTATTATTACAGCTGTGATAGTGTTTTAATGTTAATTAAACAATCGGTAGAATTTGTTTGTATTTGCGAGATCCAACTGTTGATTTTTATCATTACTGCATCTGATATATACGTAGAGAAGAAAATAGACAAAAGAAAACATCTGAGAATATTAAAACTAATATTCAAACTCGGTTTAATACGACCAATTAAAGTATCAAAACTGAAAAAAATGCCAGATGTGTAATTTATTCTATTAATAAAACCTTCTTACCTTGCTTTAATGGATGCTACAAGTTTTATTTGTATATCAATTTATTAACCTAGATACAATAACTGATGTAATGGCAATAGCTACAGAAGTATTAACGGTTATTTTAAACAGTGCCATTCTGTTCAGTTGTGGTAGTAGTACAGACCTAACTATCCTATCTCTAGAATGTTTATAACTTCTAATACTTAAAATGACAAATATGAGGGTAAAGAGGCTGTATTATTAATATTTATGGCTTTATTTTTGTCTGAAATGTACCTTTCCGTTGTCAAGTATATTGGAGTTTCATATTTATTTATATAATCTGCATCTCCTCCGTTGCCGCTAATTTGTGATGTATAGTCGCATTTACTTAGTGTTTACTTCAGCATTTTTTACAAGCTTATAAATTATTTTCAACATTACTTAATAAACCTTAAGACTCGTTAAAAAAGAAATTATATTTTGCATGTAAAAGCCTTGTAATGTTTACTGATAATCTGCCAAATTTTGTTAACATACACACTTGCTAATTTAAAAGTTATAGCATGCAAACTATAACAAGCACAAAATGGTTATAAGGTTGGTCCCAGGGATCGAGCCCGTGCTGAAAGAGTTAATAAAATTCCTAACAAAAGAGATTCACTCTGTAACTCACAAGATTACAATCACTTTCAAATTTAACTCATAGTCTTAGAACACGACTAACATTTTGACAATACTAAATCAACAGTGAGTTTAAATTCTATACATAGTTCTCCGTGGTTTTGCAAAGTTAAAATCATTAAAGGTGTAACTTAATTAATGACAGCCTCTGTCATCCAGATTAACTCAATAAAGGCTGCAACTTGTCATCAGAAACATGCCAGTATATTAAGAGAGACAATCGACTCGAACTGGATATCTAATTTAAAAATAGAAAGAAAATAAAAAAGTTAGCAGAACTAACTGTAATTCACGAACTTTTCCTGGCTGGCTAATCGTAATTTCCGATGAAAATAAAAACATGTACTACAACCTGTATGAGCAATGATAATGTAATGAAATTGATGTAAAAGTACAAAATCTAAATATTTTAGAGAGGATTACAAAAATGGCAGAAACCACTTCGCATATTGAAGAAGGTATTAAAAACAAAAAACAAAAAAAACTTTATTTTTTTATCAACGTCAACTAACAAGCAAATACCTTGCTACATTATCAGTGTGAAAAGGAAATGTATAAGAGGTACGTAAATTGTTGAAAATAATTTATAAGTTTGTAAAAACTTGCTACATTATCAGGTCAAAGAGTTTATTGACAAAGGAAGAGGATTAGTAACCACTAAAAACATCAAACAAGGAGAATTTGTGTTGGAATACTGTGGTGATCTTATTTGTTTAGAAGAAGCAAAGAAACGAGAGAAAATGTACGAGAAAGACGACTCAGTAGGGTGCTACATGTATTATTTCTCTTATAAGAATAACCGGTACTGGTGAGTATTATTTTCTTTACTTATTTATTAGAAACCTATTTGTATTTCACCATATTTATCACCAACTCTGCTTTTGTAAGTTGTCTGCAACTGTTCTGATGCCATGTTATTTGTGTGTATATGACCAACATCTACACCTTTTCGAATTTTGCAGGATTTTTAATGAATTAAATTCCAGTGAAACCATTCACATTCTGTAAAATATTTTTTATAACAAGTGGAAAAATTTCTAAATATTCTTGGGGGAAATGAGGCTAAGAAAGACTAATTTGTGATTTCAATATTATTGAATCATTTTCTAAAAGTCGGGAAACCTTTTATACTCACCTGAATTAAATGAGTTAAAACGTTTCAGTTATTAAAATGAAATGGCTTGATGTTTTCTTTTTTAACATAAAACTGCACGTTTATGGAAAACTTGTACCAGTGGCTTGGTTATTATTATACAGAAAGTGATTGTTAAAAAAAACATTTTGTATGGTTTCAATAAAACAATTTTTTTATTGATGAGCACAACTAATCTTTTTTTTTTTTTCTATTTAGGGTTTCTGTTGTTTTTTTTAGCTGTTTTATAGTTTTATTTAGCTATCTTAAAATCAATATTTTTTTTCAGGGTTTTCACTTTTTGTGTTATGTAGATATTTCATTTTTTTTTTACTTTTAATACTGTAATGATTATTTCTAATATACTGTATGTTCTCTGCACACTACTCTCTCTTATGGGAGTAATAACAGGTACAAAACACAGTTCTGTTAATGTTAAAGGTTTGTAAGAGCAGCTAATGTTATACGAAATTATATAAACAAACTTCCCACTAACGGACGAAATGTGTTCATTTTCCTTCACGGTAATATTCCAGTAATCATTTCTAGCGTTTGTTCAAAAAACACAATTATATTTTTTTTCGGTGTATCGGGATGTATTATTGGTTAAAACTGAAAATCGGAAACCCCTAGCTATAAAATAACAACAGCTTGGAAATTTTGTATTTTTTATCGATTGTTAAATGAAAATGCTGCATTAAGAGGCGTAATAGTCATGTCTACTCCAAGCGTGACTTTGTAATGGCATCAAAAATTTCCTGTTAGTGTACTTGCATAGCATGATAATCATTTGATATAGTATGCCATTGAAAATTCAGATTTTAAATTGTAATAAACTACTTATTAACATAAATTAAGAATATAAATTATTATTGTAGAGTTCTCTCATTAGATTAGCAAAATATATTAATTTGGCATGTTAAAATGGTAGGGATTACATTGTTAGGCAGGAGGTGTGTAAAGTTCAGCCTAATGCCTTAACTTTTAAATATTAAATGTGAACTATATATTTTCCTCTTTGTTCTGGAAGATGAAGTAAAGCGTGTAATTTAACCATGATATAGTTTTAATCCCATGGGTTTGATAAGCTCCTTCTCGGGCAGTTTGTTATCTGTCGGATGGGAGAATGTAATAGATATTTCGTACCTCTTGGGACGTGGTGAATTGCCCTATACAAAAACTACAATTTATTCAACACTGTCTTTTTTTATCATTAGGATACTTCGTCCACCCACGACGGTAATAGATTAAATTTAAGCTCTATAACTAAGTATTTGTAATCTTTACGTGTGTGTCTATATATATATATACCTAGCAGTACAAATTTCATTATTTAAAATAGTTTGTCAAATCAGTTTAAAAATAATTGCATTAGTATTTTTTTTTTGTGTTTAGTTTTGTGATGTGATATATGCATTGTGTTTTTTGATATTATTCTCTCGCTCACTCTCACACACACACATAATTAAATTCAGTCTTTAATTTTTGTTAATATTTTTATGAAGTATAGTAAAATAATACATACAATAATTTCAGTGTGGATGCTACAAAAGAATCTGGAAGATTAGCTCGTCTCGTTAATCATAGCAAGCACGGAAACCTGAAGACTAAATCCTTCTCGGTCCAGGGCATTCCACGCTTGATTCTAGTGGCTAAACGAGACATTCAACCAGGAGAAGAACTGCTTTATGATTATGGAGACCGAAACAAGTATTCCCTACAGTCTCATCCATGGCTAGCATTATAAAAAAAGGCTTTGACCACAATATGTACAGCCTTATTCCCCAACTTTAGACATGGGTTTTAATGGAAACACAAGAATTTTGTACTTCATGTATATGTTGCACAAACGAGAAAAGAAAAGTAGCGAACACCACAGTTTCTGTACGAATATTAGGTTTTCTGCATGTGTAATAGTTTCATTCACACTTGAAGAGTAGGAGATTTTAAAATAACTCTGTGGATTTTAAGGTTCTGTATATACTTATTTACAAATCTCACCTATGGCTGAGATGTATTGAAATTCACAGCTTATATCGTGACCTCACTTTGTGTGTGTGTGCATTTTTAATAACAGCTGTTGTGTTTCTTAAATTTTGATAGACCAATAATTATTTTTAAACATGTGGTACATCTTTCATCTTGGAGATTTTTTTTTTTATGTTAAGATATTAAATGCTTGATATGTAACTGACAGAAAAAAAAATGTCTGTTAATTGTTCATTTTAATAAAACTTCAATAATCCAAGATCTGCATTAATATCATGGTGTCTGGGTTAGTACGAAAGATTTATTTTTTTTTTTCAATATGCTCCACAGTGATACGTGATCCCCCTATTTTCATCAGTCATCTTATGTTCTGTTTTCACGCAATTACTTTTGATGATATGCAAGTTAACCTTACAATAAAGGTTCTGACCATTGTTATATCGTCTTATTTTTGCTCTGATTGAGTGAAATGGTACGACAAAATGATTAGAAATTATTATATACAAGCTCAATACAAGTTGGATGTTAGTGATAAAACACAAGTGAACAAAGCGTAGCAGGGATAAAATTGAATATTGACTGTCATTGGTTCTGGAATAAACAGTTCTTCGGTAAAATGACAATTATCTTTATATTCATTGTTACATGGGTCACACACCTGTAACCAACATGGTTGCTGTCAATATTAGCCGTGAAAAAATATTTGTTCTAGGCTGTACCAGTTAATAGATTAATACAATATAGTTTTGCCTTTCCCGTTGCTTATTAAGAATGATTTAAATGTCAGTTAGAAGTATTACATTAAATATCTATAAATACCTATCTTGTGCAGGTGACTCGATCCTTTTTTTTTTTCCACATGAAATTTATGAACATACTAGATTTTATTTTGCTTTAATTTTTTCGCTGTTTGTGTAGTTTTCTTTAAATAGAATTTAACTTGTAATAAAACAACTTAAATGTATAAATCGGGTAATTTTATAAGCTGGTCGAGTATGTTTGTCTAGCTAAAGAAAACTTATTACAATCTTGTTAATATTCCTCACCCAAAGAAACTTGTACCATTAAGGTTTATTTGTGTTGTGTTTCAAAGCTGAAAGAAAATATGGTATGAACAATTGATGGATGTTCCCATTCTACATGAATTTTGTTCTCAAGTTTATTTTACATTTATAGTGTGTGTGTGTTTTGGATTTGAATTTTACAAGAATTCAGAGAAGTAAATTTACAACCTTTGTGTTTTGAATGTGTAACCTTTTGTTGTATATAGTTGTCTAAGTTAAAATAGATAAAAAAAAAAAAAATAACATTATTAAAAAAAAAGTTAAAGCATTTTTTTAACCAATGAACTTGTTTTGTCTCGTTATTTCAAGCATAGAAAGCAGCAGTTTTTCCCATAAAGAAATTTCCACTTATATTCAAACTTCTAAAACCATTTATTGAGTTACACCTTAAAGAAAGTTTAGTTACACGGAAAATCTCTTAGTGATGATATTAACTGTTTTTATTTGTCCTGGCTAAAATTGATTTTACAATGCTATATTTTTGATTTTACATACATCCCAAAAATATTTAAAGTTACATCATTAACCTCTGATGAAACAAATTTTTAGCTGATTTTTTTTTCTTTCTCGCTTACAAGCTATTTCATAACAACTTGCTTTTATTCACGATATTGCATTAATTTATTCTCCAACATTTCTTTGGGAAAACAGTGTATGTTGGAATTTCTATACAATTTACGAAGTCCCCCAGCATTTTTGGACTTACAATGCCAAAATATGGGAGTTCAATTCCCCACGGTTCTGCATTGTTGAAAAAAAAAATACTACATTTATATTTTCATGAGAAAATAAACTTACTATCAGATCGACAGTGTTGAAACGGTTTTCGTTTTAGATCATAGAAATAATAATCGGATCTAATGTTAATTCGATTGCCAAAAACGTTAGAACGAGATTAAAATCGGGTTTTAAAGTGTGTGAGAAATTAAATTTTAGACCAAAATGATAGTTTTTGTGAAAAGAGCTAGCATACTCACCTAAATAAGTCTGAAGAAGTTATGATGATGACAGAAGCTTATCGAAATGTAATATACTCGTAATAAAGGTTCTTTCACTACCCATTCAAGCCATCTTTAAAGTTATGAGCTATGAGTAAGTATGTGTAAAAATTTAAAAAATGCGATTATAATTAGTAAATAAGAATTGTTTTACCTATGACTGCACTAGCAAAATGGCTAGAAATTTCAGTCCTGCATTTTGTTTTACGTACACAACTGTTGTTGAAAAAAAACGCATTTATTAACCCTTTTGCTGCTTAGTTCGGATATATCCGAATAAACTTAGCCACTGACTACGAAATTCGGATTCACCCCAAGGCTACCAAAAAAAAAAGAAAAATTCCCTCTACCGGGACATGCGGAAACATCCTCCTGTACTTGAAACAATTGCCAAACCTGCGTGCGTGCTGCCATCTGTGTTCTACGCTGCGAAACATAGATGTTTATATACTTCATTACAAAACTGCGAAATTCGGAGGAACACTTATAGAATCTATATAAAGACAGATTCTTTATATCTTTGATATTGTTATCTAAATAATTTGTTTTATATTTTGGCCTCTTACTGATTTAGTTTTGCCTGTATTTATGCCATTTACTGGAGAACACTTTCCTCAATATATTGGTTAAATCATTATTTTTCACTATTCAGTACGGTTTTCAAGGAATATTGTTGTCAGATATAGAAAATATAGCTTCTTTCAATAGTGAAAAAGTAATACAAGGAATCAAATTAATACTTTTATTTTTTCTGGTGGATAATTGACACTTTTTTGGGAATCAGCCTGAAAATTAATTGCGCAGTGAAAGGGTTAATTCAGACTTATGGGTTAAAACAAATTACGCTTAATATATTCTTAAAAGTTTTCCTTAACAACCTCATTAAACCAGGTTATCTATTATATTAATAAAACAAATATTTCATTAGGGAGTTGCTCCCCAGTGGCACAGCGGAATATCTGCGGATTTACAACGCTAGAAATCGGTTTTCGATACCCATAGTGGGCAGAGCACAGATGTTCCATTGCGTAGCCTTGTGCCTAACTACAAATAAACAAAACATTAAAGAGTTGTACAGTTTTTTTTTGTGATGTTTAAAAAACAAATACAAGTTGAAATATTAAATTGATGCTTATATGACGATCATCGATAAAAAAAATCGTGCTGTGTGATCGATAGTAAAGGACTGTGATGATTTATTTAACTGGATAAGGTTTCTAGGTGTAGGTATTATTTTTACCGAGTGGTTACGAGTAGTGCTGGACTAGGTCCGAGAAGCCATCTCGTCGCCGCAGAGAAAATAAATAAAAATCGCGTTCTACTCATTGGAGTTCTAGGTACGTTATAAATGTGATCTTTAAATGTTATTATTCGTTTAGCTTAGACCAAGAGGTGGCGGTTGGCGCAGTTGACTGGCTGCCTTCCTTCTAGTCTTATCGGTTCAATATTAGGCGCAATACAATAGTACAACTACAGTTTGTTTCCGATATTCGCGCAAAACTACAAGTAACGTCAATTATTTTTGCATGTATTTCAGTGATAATCAAAAGCACCAAAAAATTAACAGTGCATATCACTAAGTTTACAAATAACGTCTTAACATCAAAAACTTTCAAATGTTACATAATGGCCCAAACCTTTTGAAATATAAGTAGCCGATAGACGCACCATCTCATAAATGTCAGGAAAATACGAGTGCTTGGTATTAATATCATATTTATTGCAGTTAAATATATAAATAGACGTGTACAGTCTGGAACGTAGCTTTACTAGAGAATAAACTAATTTTTTTTCCGGGTAAATAAAATTGATAATTAGAATGGTTTAATTAAATTATAATAAATTCCGTTCGATATAGTAATTAGTATATCCATTTTTTTAGGGAACAGTAAATGAAGTATTGATAATTAGAATGTTCCAATACAAATATGATAGTTTTTCGTATATTACAAAAGTGGAAGCCCCTTTCCCCGATTGCTCAGCGGCGAGCAGTGGAGTTATAATGCTAAAAATCGGGTTTCGATACCTGTGGTAAACAGAACAAAAATAGCTCATTGTGTAGCTTGGAGCTTTAAAACAAACAAAAAGTTAGAGCTAGGAAGTATGATTGGAAAATTTAGAGCTAAGTTTACGTATAATACAAAATACATTAAAATAAACGCCAACATATTGAAAATACTTTTTATGTATCATCAATAATCCTCATCTAGTGGTTGAGCGGTAAGTCAGTTGGCTTAAAGAACTAAAAATTCTCATTGTGCAACTTTGTGTTTAACAACAAACAAAATTATCAATAGAAATAAATATATATATATAGTCAGAAAAGGTATCTGATAAGAAAATTATAATAATTTCACCTCAAAATTTCCTCTACTGTTTTGCTTTTTTTTAAATTAAACTAAAAAATTAAATTATCGTGAAACAATAAGATCGGTAACAGGACGATTGTCTTGAAACACAGTTTTCGTTTTAGACCATATAAATAAGAAATAACATTTTAAACTTATATTTCAAATTTTTTGTTTCTTTTTAATTAAACAAAACATAAATATTCTAATAATTTCCGGGAAAACAAAATCCTTTCTAAGATTTGTTGTTTAAAATTACATAAACAACTCTAGTTTTAACCATAGACCACACAACTTCATTGGAGCTTGTCCGTTATGGAGAATTATGGTTATTTGACCGTTACAGTAAGCCAATGTAGGATCGTTTCATTATAATCTATGTTCAAGTGACAGACACTCACTCTAAATGTAGAAAACGTTTGCAAAACTGTTAAAGTAACAATGTTCCAAACGATAGATAAACCTATAACAAATAAAAGCTTTGTTGTTTTTGTTGATGGATTAAAAAATATTCAGTTTCGACCCCATTCCTTATCAATGCATAGGCTTAAAGTGAGTACACGTCCCCTCCTCCCGGGCACCTAGTACTGTATATTTAAATTACTATGGAGCTTTATTTGTCAAATTATGTACACATAATACTAAATAAATTAATAAATATCGAAATAAAAATTACAAACACGATAACGAATGTGGAACTTTCCAGACATGCAGTTTTAGG